ATTCATAAAAAACAAAAGTATTTGTAAACATTTAAAAGTAACCACAAAATTTCGCCATCAGTCGCACTTACCAAAGGAAGAATGGCAGCCAACAGAGTATGAATGTGCCCATAATTATACCCAAAGTTCTTGCAGCCTTGTGTTCTCGTTTCATTTTGATTAAATGTTTATCCTTTGTCGGTGTATGATCCTGCTCCACTTCATGCAGCGTCAAAGTTTTCGATGAGCCGGAACCGCTGAGCGCTTCACCTGCGGCAATGAAAGCTAATCGGTTAGTATGAAAAATGAGCAAGAAAAGGCAATTATGTGCATAAAATAAAAGCGCTGGAAAAGTCCTAAACGATACACATTTCCCATTTTTGGCCAACACGAGAAGGAAAAACTTCAAATCTGACTGTAATTTGCAGCAAATTTATTAGCGCAAAGCCGGCTTTGTCAGCTGGACAAAGTTTGCCATAAAGCTTTACAAAATTATTGTGGCTTAACTGACTGCACCGAAAAGGTTGCGAAGAAACCACATTGTGACCCGGAGAGTTGCCACTCGATTTGTCCATGGCAAAAAATGCGCAGTTCAAGTCAATCTCCTATTTGCCTGCTTTGCTTTATTTCCTTGACTTGTTTGCTTTGTATTTTGTACGTTTTGTTTATATTTCTAGCCCACCAAGCCCAAAACCCACAAAAAGTTTTCATTTTGCTAATCGCTTCCAAATGTTGAAGGTACGTACATCCAAGTTGTGCGCCGTAAATGTTGAGTATACGCCATGTAGAGCGCTGAGTTATGCATAGCGCTGTTATTTATGTTGCTTGCGGAGCTAAATATATATGTACATTATTCTTGCGTTTGGTTTTTATTTTCGCTGCAGCGCTCAGTTAATCGCTTGCAATATTTATAACATGTTCCTGGAAATATATTTTTAGAAAGTTTCGCGCAACGAAAAGTTTGTCCATTAAGAAATAGGTGCGCACAAATGGGGCCTACGCAAAATACATACGTATGTATGTATGTATGTATATACTTTTCCGTATAGGAGACCAGCTGAAACAGGGTTGATAGGTAGGCAGTTATGCATACTTTCATTGGCGCTTAAAAGCAATTGCGAATAAAATAATAAATAAAATTGCGCCAGCGTGTTGAGTGATTGAAATTCAGAGTCTTAGTGTTTATTGCACCTTAATTGTGGAAAATTCTTCGCTGTAGCTTTATGCTAAATACTTTGTTGGTTAATAAATATGTTTGTATGTACATATGTAGAAGGTACATGTTTCAAGAAGTAATTTTTTTGTTTGTTATTTTTATTATTTAAATTCGATTGTGATGGCTCGTGAGTCGGTCCTAATGGTTCCGGTTGTCCAGAGATTCCAACCGAGATCGAAGTGGTGCTTTAGAGATAGTTCTATAGTTTTCGATATTGCAGAAGTAATTAACTTGATAGCTCAGTCATTTTTGGCGCAAACTCATTAAAAAATAATGATACTCCACTAAACAAATGGAGGTCTGTTGGACTTCGTAGTGTTAGATCTTTCTTCATTGAGTCTCAAATTTTTCTGCCTTCAATCCAACGACTGGAATCTTTCGCTTAACTATTAACAATTCGCTGTGTATTATAAATGAACAGTAAAGATCTGATTGCAGCTTGGTTGTCTGTATAGACGGCATCGATACTGAGGCATTACGTAGCCTAGGATCAGTTCATTTATTGATCGTTAATTCAGCTTTAAAAATATTGAGGTTCTTATGGAGCCGTAGGTTTAGATTCAGTGATATTTAAATATGTTGAGTGCATTTCAATGCCAGCCTTTTTGCTCAGCTTTTACTCAACGGTAAAACTAGCGGCAGATCTAAAATTAAGTTTGGTTTTTCAATTCATTCCTCAAAGGGATTCCAGAGAGAACTTGTTTTCTTAGCACAAAACGGGATTAACATAAACCAGTTTTACCGGAGTTCTGCGTAAAATCTATATAATTACGTTGTGGCAGTTTCAATCCGAGTTTGAAGGCCTTACCTGTGGACTAGACTAGACTTCACCCTCTGCAGTTTTCTCTTCAACGTAGATTCATCTAAAACTGGCCAACAAACGTTAAAGAGCGGTGCCCATGGACTTTTCTTAAAAATATGCATGGATGTACTTATGTACGTAAATATATTTGGTAATTTTCATTGTCATTGCTAGTGTTATTGGCAGTGTTATTGTTATTGTCATTGCTTTTGTAAATTTACATGTCATTATCATTGTCACTGTCATTACCTTTTCAAGTGTCACTCTCTCGCACTTTTTGTAATTTTGAATTTTTTACCACCAACCATTTTTAGTAGTTACATACTCATACTCCCGCGCTTAATTCTTTATTTTATTTTAATATTTTGTTGCTTATTATATATGTATACCTGTATTATTGCTAGCCCCTCCGCGCGTATCCACCGAATGTCGATGCATTAACATCGCATTGCCATGACGCGCCATCATTTGTTTCTCCTGACGATTCGCCTCACGGAATATCGCCAAATACGTGAATATCATAATTGTACAGGGGATCCAGAAGGAAATTGAGCTGGATATAACACAATATGGCTTATTGACAATGAATTCACAACGATCCGGATGACGTTTGACAAAAACTTTGTGCTCCTCTGTCGTATACCAACCGATGAATATGGGCAAGAAGGAGAGGAGCGCTGGCGAAACCCACGTATTCAATATCATGATGAATACGACACGTTTTGTCATGCTAATCGGGTACTTGAGCGGTTTTACAATCGCATAATATCTGTGAGGGAGAGAAAAATAAAAAAAA